TCCATCCGACACACGCAGGCTGTTTGCAAGCTCTGCATATGTTTGCGTAACCTCGGGTTTTTGGCCGGAAACCAGGCTTTTCGGGAGGATTTCTCAGGCTTTCAAAACCTATCGTGGTGCCGGGGCCGTGAGTATGCGCGCGCTCACCGCACAACGTGACGGGGAAGGAGCCGCGGCTGGAGGGAAGGGGAGATGGGCCCGGCCAAGCTGCAAGAGCAGAGTTTTTGGGATCACACCTCGCTTTTTCCTCCCCAGAGATATTTTCTTTCAAACATCATAAAAAGGTATTGGATATTCTTTCAAAGATGCCCAGGAGAGCGAGCAGAAGGGAAGGCAGCCTGCACCGTGGCTCTGTGGATAACTGATTGCTTTGCTCATTTTGGTCTGACCCAGAACAAATATGTTTCATTTTTCCAATGAGCTGGTAAAAAAATACAGTCCCCTTACTTCTAGTTTACTTAGAGCTTGTTTTTTTTTTTTTTTTTTCTTTTTTCTCATTTTATTCCCTTTTTAATACAGAGCAATTTCAGAACAAAAAGCCAAAATAGCAACTTGAAAATCACTTTTTAGTGTTTACTTATTCTTGTCAATACGATTTGCCCCGCTCGGCCTGATTCCACCAATCATTTCGGTCACCTTGGAAGACTTTTTGGACCCTTCCCTGCTGGCTGCAGCCACCCTGCCCAGCTGTGGTCCTGAGCACATCCCAGCCAGGATGCGATGGCACCGGGGCAGCAGCGCCAGCACCTCCCATCCATCCATCCCATCCCATCCCATCCCATCCCATCCCATCCCATCCCATCCCATCCCATCCCATCCCAGCATGCTGGGACTCGGCTCGCTGCTCGCCTCGACGCCGTTTCCCTAGCGAAAGACGCTCTCAGACTGCAGCAGAGACGCCGTTTGCCAAAATATTTGACAACACGAAGCGCTGCTTGGCGGGGCGCCAGGAGCCCCGTTTGAAAAGTGAAATTCGGCATGCTCCGGCCCCAGGAGCGGTTCCCACGCAGCCAGGGAGGGCGATGGCAGCGCCCGGGGCCATGGCAGAGGGCCCACCGCCTGCTTGCCACACCGAGGGTGGGCACCCCCGGGGCAGGGATGCGGTGGCCGTGCCTTGCAGGCTGCATCTCCCCTGCATGGGTTTCAGGGTGAGGGTGCTGCTAGGAGCCAGCCACCCCCCAGCAGGGCACGGAGAAGTGGGCTGAGATGGAGCACAGCTCCTGGGCAGCCTGCCCTCCTCCAGCACAGCTCCGTGCCCCAAAGCGGGCTGCGGCACAGCTGAGGCTCTGGGCTTGTTCAGTGCTCTGGGCATCCAGCACCAAAGCTCTCTGCTCGCTCACAGGTGGCTCGGGAGGGCTGAGCCAGGCTGGGAAACAGTCCTGGTGCCACATGGATTTGTGGGCCCCATCTGGGAGCCGTGCACCATCTGCCCTCCTCGCTGCAGCTTTCATGGGCCACCCACCCACCAAAAACAGGGGCTCAGCCAAGGAGCCGCAGCGTGCACGGGTGCAGCTGACCCGGCCAGAGAGCTGAGAAACACTGATTTTACAGGCAAAAGTGCCTGCTCCTTGCCTCAGCTTCTGTCCCTGCCGTCCCGTTTGCAGATGCTGGGGGAAACGTGAGGAGCAGGAGGCGAGGTTGCATGGGAAGAAAACCCCTCGCGTCACTAAAAAAAAAAGATGAGGTGGCTCCGAGTGGGAGCAGGGAGAAGAAAGGCCAGGGCACAGCGACACAGCTCGTTTGGCTTGTAACTCGGTCAGGATTTAATGCCGGGTAAATCTGACGGCGCACTCCTCGCTGCGTGGACCTCATCTTTCTTCCTGCGCCGTAAAGTGCTGAGCACACATCAGGGTGCTGTAAAACTAACCCAGAATAAAAAATAAGGTCTTCCAAGACGAAAGACTAATGCCTTCTGCTCCGCACAGGCAGAGGTGCACTACAGGTAGGCAGCGTATCTGGGAAGCTTCCCCGCCCTGCCTGCGCTTCCAAATCCTGCCCTGGCCACGCAGGGGGCTGGGGACACGTGGGGAGGCTGGGGCTGGGTCCTCTGCCATTTACTTCACCAACTGCTTCACCCTTTTGCCAAAAAGGGAGAACAACAAAATCAAAGAGCAAGAGGCTGCAGGAAATACAGATAGCAAAGTGCTGGGCAGCATCCCCGGCAGCAGCAGCACGCGTCCAAGATCTCCAAATCCCGGTGCAGAAAGACGGCGCTTCTGGAAGGAGGTAGCGGGAGAGAGGAAAGTCTTCTCTGAGATCCCCGAAGCATTAATCCCAGATTTGAGCTATGAAGTAGAGCGTTAAGATGGAAAAAAGCCCAACCCTTTGCCAGTATGCTGATGTTCATGAAAAGAATAAATATCTGGAAGGAGACTGCCTGTTATTACTGGAATAACGCAATCACAAAGGAACACACCGCAAACAATTACAGTGGAACTAAGAGGGATGGACGCTGGCTCTGTACGCAATTAGGCACAGCTATGAGTCAGGGAAACGAACATTTTCTAGAAACACTGCACTTCTCCTCAGCACAGAAACCGCCTCCTGGATGGCAGGATAAAGTTTAAAGAAAAAAAAAATAATAAGAAAGAAAAAAGGGAGCAGAAATCTGCAGTATCATAACAGAAATCACAGATCAATGCGTTTGCCCTAGGAAATGAACAGATACACATCAGGACTTGGCAGCTGAAGGAGTCTCCCAAACGAAGCAGAAACAGCTCAAAAGGAAAGGAACAAAAACAGAAAGAGAGAGCGAGGGGGGGGGAGAGAGAGAGAGAGAGAGAGGGAAGGCGGCGCGGGCTCCGGAGCAGACACCATCAATCTGCACGCGCGGAGCAGGAGGCAGCGGTACCTGCCTCCCGGCCGGCCAGGGCTGCACACGCGAGGAGGGAGGACAAACAGGCCTGAGAAAATACAGACGATTTGCTTCCAAGGGCCTTTTCTTGCCAAAATTTACAGGCCTGCAGTTCTCAGTTAATAGATGGAGCTCCCCTTAGAGCTCCTAATGGAAGAGGCTGAAATGAAAACCACCCGCTCCCCGCGGGAGGAGGGGGGGGCCAAGCGCACAGCCTGAGCGAATGTGTTCTGCATCATCTCTGCCGGGACAGGGCCCGGACACCTCATCACACGCCCCGAGATAACGAGCTATGTGGAAGTGGGAATGCGGATTTTTAAATTAAAAAAGAAGAAGAAACCGCCCAGCGCAGAGGGATAATCGCCGGGAAGAGCGCAAAGGAAAGTTTCCCCTGGGCAAAGCTGTGCAGTGGGCAGGGGATGCCCTGGGCAGGGGCTGTGGCCGTGCCCATGGCTGCAGCAGGGCATGTGCTGCCCATCCGCAGGGGCTACCTGGGCACGCACAGCACTTGCCCGGTGGCCACCCCAACGCGCTGGAATCGCCGGCTCTGTCCTGCTGGAGACCGCTGGCGGGGCTGTGCAGGCTGGCAGGCAGCAAACAGCACGGCGCCGCAAACAGGGGCTCCGACAGCTATTAAACACAACAGGCAGCAAACTCCTCAATCGATATTCTGGATGCGCGACCTAACCCTCACCATAAATCACTCCGATAACGCGGAGAGCGCAATCCTCGCGGACCCGGCGAGGTGCCGCGCAGCTCCGCGGGCAGCGCTCGGTGCAAGCCGTGCAATTAGCGGGGTGACGTGTTTGCAGCTCAGCCGCACGTGCCGTGTGGTGTCAGCCCCATCCCAAACAGCCCGACCCCAAAGAGCCCAGCAGCATCAGCTGCCTGCAGGTTTTGTGAGCCTCACGGCCGGTCCCGTCCCCAGCACCGCTGGGCAGCCGAGGGAAGGGGACAGGGATGGATGGAGCAGCCCAGCGCTCGGCTTCCAGCGGATAAAGTGGCCGTAAACCTGATTTATCTGCTAAGCCACAGGAGGGTAAGCGAGCTCCTGCCTAAGCAGGGACATCCAGCCCGTGCCCCAGGGAAAGTCCGGGTGTAACGCAGCAGCGAACCCGCTCGAGGGCACGCCGTACAGTAGAGAGGAGCCCACAACCCTACATACAGTACGGTGCGTGCATATTTAATGTATTTGCTTGGCAGATGGAATAACTTTGTTAACAGACTATTTAAATTCCTGAGGGGGTACCTGTAACTATTAGAAATTGATTTTATGAGCCTGTTATACAAACATCACTCTTCAAGGTCTAAAGCATATTGAAATTCTTCCTGTTCTCTCTCAAACAGATGGTGCTAGGAATTTTTCTGAACCTACTCGTATTCATAAATACTACCCTCCAATCCCTCTTGCAAGACAGAAACGATCCTAATTAGAATGGCGAGCCCTCACCATCTTTTCCTCATCACACAGTTCCCATAAAACCACTCCAGAATAGGAAGGTTTTGGCAAACCCTTCCCTAGGCGAGCAACTGCGAGTATTCCTGTACGGTTGTGTCACAATTAGAATAATAAATAATATTTAAAAAAAAGCACCCTGTGACAGATTAAAGGGCTTGCGGGACTGATTTCCAAGGAAAAAATTGAGGGGCTTGCTCTGTTGAGCTTGGCTGGGTGCAGCTGGGAGCATCGGGCTCAGGGAGCTGGGCAGGGGGCACTGGGGGCTTGCACCCCTCCGGGAGCTCACTTTTGGGGTTTTGCAGCATGAGGGCAGCTCGGAGCACCTCTGGGTGCAACCTGCATGAAGCTGCTCAGCAGGGCTTCAGCCAGCAGTGAGACGCTGCTCACTGCGAGATCTTTTAGGGCTGGCAACAGATTCATGTAACCCAGCAGGCAGATTTCTTGGGTGATGAAATTAATTTTGAACTCGGTGGAAGTGGAGGTAGTTGAGGGCTCCCATTCGGGGGACAGAAACAATGCGCCATGCGATAAGGTGCCCGGCCTCGCAGTGTGAATAGCAGCTCCGCAGCTCAGATAGGCCACCGGATATTTTTTTTATTCTGCTGCCATTCATGAACAACCCCGAGCTCAAATACGGTCATAAAGAGCATTCACTGAATGGAAAAAAAAAAAAAAAATCATTAAAAATTGCGGTCTCTTCCTGGACAACCCAGTAACAGAAAGTGCTAGCTACATTTGTCGAGTAAATTGCTTGCAGGGAATAGTTTTACTAGCTCTAAATGGGGTGGAATTAAGCAAAGGGAAACGAATGCCAAGCGCACAAATATTTCTGGGTGTGAGGTAGGAGGCGCGGACCAGCCCCTCCGGGGCCGTGCAGACCCCAACAAAAAGCTGTGCCCTGACCCCTGGCACATGGGCCTGCCGTGCACCCCACGGATTTTGGGCTGCTGGGCCTCAGCTTGGCACTTCCAGGTCTCAGCAGCAGAGGGCAGGGGCTGGCCACAGAGTCAGCATCTGGGGCCACCAGGCCGGGCAAGCGGGCAGGAGAAATTGGGGGACCCCTGACAGCAGCCTCAGCTGGGCATCCCCCATCAGTCCCAGATTTTGCTGGATTGCTCAGCTTTTGGGTGTCACTCACATGGAGAGGAGCAGAGCTTGCAGGAAGGCACCATCCTTATTTATTTCAGCTAAACAAAATGATCCTGGTGGTTCTCCCCTGCCCCAATGCCCCCAGTCCCTCCGGCTGGGCCCAGCCTAGGGTTAACCAGGGACACGCCGCGGCACCGGCAGCAGGCTGAGCTCTCCAACAGCTATTTGCTGAGCGCTCCGGGGAAGGCGAGGGAAGAGGGTCTCATTAAAAGAGAGGAAAAGCAAAAAAAAAATCCTCCAATGATTTGCTCTTTCCATCTGCTCTCCTATTTGGTCAGCTCATGCAGCGGGAGCTATCGTGGGCTGAGGGCTGCTCCCTGCTAAGTGGATGCTGTGAGGACATTTCATAAGCTCCACGCTCCGCAGAGATGCCTGGGTGACAGGGCTGTGCTCCTAGCAAGGCACAGAAAAAAAAAAAAATCTTAAAAATATTAAAATCAGGGACAACAGCAAGCACCACACTCCCAGACCCACTTCTGGAAGGCTCCTGACCCCAGCACCTCTAGGGCACGCCTGGGTGCGCCCGGTGAGGTACCCCAGGGACTCCCCATGCTTTGTCCCGTGGGTGGAAGGCATCTGCGAGGCTCCTGGGGAGAAACCTGGCGAAGAGAAGAGCCTGCCATGCCCCCGGGGTGATGGTGCATAGCAAATTACCGCAGACAGGAGGCTGTAATGCAATCCAGCAGCAGCAAGGCAAGCCAGCATCACTCCTGGCTGAGTGCACAAACGCGCGTGCCACGGAGCAGGGAGGTGACAAACCGTCCCTCTGCGGGGGGACACGGAGGTCCGGAGCCAGTGTAGTCCCCATCCCACCCTGCTGTCCCTGCAGGGACAGTGGGCACAGCCTGACACAGAGGCTGGGTGCAGAGGAGGCATTGCTCATTGCCTCAGGTAATTTGGGGTCTGCCCTGGCTGCCTCTCTGGGTAGCTCAGGTGGCTTTAGGGAGATGGAGAACCCACATAGCCAAGGCAAAAACTGGCAGGAGGGGGACTTGGATGCCCACAGTGGAAACATTTCAGGGGCTTCACATCCAAGAAACACCCTGTTTTGCAAAAACGACCCACCACAAGCCACATCCTGCCCGGCTGCCTCAAATATCTGGCTCACAGCCAGACAAAAGCAGGGCTGAAATGGTCAGTCTGGCCCCAAAGCTCATTTTTGCCCTGGCTGGGCAAGGAGACACGGCTGCAAGCTTAGCCCCATGGGCTGCCACCAGGTTTCCCCGAGCAAGGGTGGCTGGGGAAGACCATGCAAAGCCAGGGTAAAAGAAAACCTGGACCCCAAAACCTCCCCAAAACCAGGAGTGGTGGCAGGGGATGCAGCGTGCAGAGGGTGACCAAGATGAGAAGAGCACCCAGGCCCCTTCTGCATCAGCTCTGAGGCAGGGAGAGGCAAGCACGGAGCATTTCCATCACGCCGGCACGGCAATTACAGAATCAGCCAAATGGTTAAAGAGGCTGGAGGGTTTGATTTAAATAAATAATAATAATTTAGCTTCCAAATTGCTCCCACATTGAGGTGCTTCAGGCTTTGCGCAATGCAATAAAAGCCATCTCAAAAAAAAAATAAAAAATAACAACAACAAAAAGCATACTAAAATGTTATCAGAAAAACACTACTCATTAAAATTAACAATTAAAACAAATTAGAAAGGCTCTACTGACACGGAGGGGGAGGGAGAGCATCCAAACGAGGAAAAATGCCTGGTAATTTTTAGTCACTGATAAGTAAAATAATGGTCTCATTTAGTACTGATTACCTAGAATTATTTAATTTTACTTCAAATTATTCAATTTTTGGTTGAAGTTACCTAGTAATTTTTAATTACCGATACATAATGCAATGACGAATGGCTCTTATTTACCCCTGTCTGCACGGAGGAGTGCAGGAAATCAATAGGCATTCCTGGCAAATTATCCGGTGGCTGGCTGAAATGATAGCAGCCGTCCCCCATCAGCGGGAACTGCCGGGGCTGGGCACAGTGTCGGGAACACCCCGGGGTCTGTAGGAGAGAGGAGGAGTTGCCAGAGAAGCTTTGGGGCAGGCTGGAAGCCCCAACCTAGAGAGGCGGCTTTTGGGGGTATTTTTTGGGGAGCGATGGGATCGGGGCCGGGAGCAAAGGAGCCCACCCCTCTGTGCGCAGGAAAGCAGGATTCAGGCCATTTTTAGCAAAGAGCAGGCTCTGCCACAGATTCTTGGCTGTATCATTGATTTTTCCTCCTAATGGAAACAACCTGCAGGACTGAAAATATTTGCAAACTGCTCAGGTCAGAGGAGGGAACAGCAATAACAACACGGGCGGAGGGGAGGCTTTCCCAGGGCAAAGCCGTGCTGTGCCCCTTCCCCGACGTCTCTAGGATGTTTTCTTTTCCCCGGGCATGCTGCCGATCTTTTTATTTGTTTTTTGTCCTCAAGCAGCAGCAGCATTCCCTGGGTATTCGCCCCACGTGGACCAGCCTCATTTGTTAAAGAAATGAGGATGGAAGGGGTCAGAGGAAGAGGAAGCGACGCGGGGGCAGCAGGACGAGCGCCCCCGGCTCCATCCTTAAGCTGTGCGTGGCTCCAAAGGATCAAAACTCACCTCCTCACCTGCTGGAGAGCTGCCACGGCTTTTGTCAGAGCCAGGGCTGCTCCATCAGCATGCGGGGAGGCAGGGCCAGAGCTCAAAGTGGTCTCGATAAAGCGGTGGTGGAGCCAGGAAAAACAGGGGAGCGCTCAGCAGCACCAGCGCGCCTCGAGCCAGCAAACACCGGGGGCGGGGGGGATGCCTAAATAAATACAAGGGAAAGCTGGCGAGGTGGCTGCTCACAGAGCAGGGCTTGGGTTGTAATGAACACAGGCTGGACGCAAGGCAGGAGAGCTGCACTGCAGCAGAAAAAAAAAAAAAAAAAGATTAAAAAAAGAACATTGTTCTGAGATAAGAGCAGCATCTCGCCTCCAGCGTCCTCCCCAGCCCCGCTGCGGTCTCGGCGCAGAAGATGCCCAGCTCTGGGCACTGGTGTGTGGCAAAGGTGGGAAATAAACAACGAGAGCACGGCCGAGGATGGGGAGGTGTGCCAGAGGCCTGGCGAACCTGATCTGTTGGGAGATGCTGCGGGCACCCAGCTGCTGCAGGAGGGAGGCGTCTGCTCCCAGCAGGGAGCAAGAGGCTGGAGCTGCGCTGAGCAGAACCCCGGTTTTGGTGCAAGGAGAGGCTCTGCATAACAAATCCCTGGTTGAGGAGTCTGTCTCTGTCCCAGAGGGCTGTGAAAGCTCCAGCGAACACCCACCAGGAGCAGCTGGGACCAGGCTGAAGCCCCAGGAGCCACCGCCACTCCGCGCAGAGCTGGGGAGGGGATGGGGAGCATCCCCTCACCCATCCCCAAAGCTTCGGTCACATCAGCACCCACTCACCCTGCCCATCGCACCCGGGAGAGCTCAGCCACGTGGCAGAGCTGAGGGCTGTCAGTGGTTGCTCTTTTTTTTTTTCCCATTATTTAAATGAAAGGAACAACTGTGAATCACATGGTAAAAATCCCTAGCTCTCCTCTCCAGCTTGCAGATAGGAGCCCTACGACTGTTCCTGTTGGAAATTCCCATCCATGCACTGGCAGGAAAGGATTGGGGTCTGTGCCAAAACACATTCATCCCTTTCCAAGACTTCCCTGAGCCCCCGTGCGCTCCCCTGGCCACCTTGGTGCCCGCCGAGGGCCTGACTCAGGCTCCCCCAACACCCACCAGGTGCCACCTCCATGTGGCTGGGATGTGCCTCCTGCCTCCTTCCCTGCACTGCACGGCCTCACCACACGCAGCGTGGTGTTTGGGGGCAGCCAGGCCACCACACTGCCCTTGGGTACACGACACCCAGGCCAGGGAGCCCTGCGCCAGGCTAAGTCACTGCAGCAGCTCCTGTCCCGTGGGGTTCAGGCACCTTACTGCAGCGGAGGTGCTGGAAAGAGTCAGCAGTGGAGGATTTTGAGCCATCAGGATTTTTTTTTAGGAGCCTGGAGACAAAGCTGGATAAAAAGGAGGAAGGCAGAGGCATTACCCACATGGTTTTATCTGATCTGGCACCAAAACCTGCTATTGCCTCCATTTCCCTGTCTTGAGGAGGATTTTTTTTTTTTAAATGTACACAGCTACAAATCACTCCTTCCAGTTTAAGTGTCAAATTAAATCAAGACAAACGCTCCCCTGTTCCACACTTCCTCCAGCCCTCGGCTGGGCCCTGTGGCCCTTTCCCAAACCTCCCATCGCCTGGCACAGCCCCAAGCCCTCACCCCGGGGACACCTTCAGCCCCAGCTCCCCATCCCCTCCGCACGCCGTCCTGCAAGCCCTCTCCCCATCAAGGAAACCAAGGACTTTTTGCACAAGGGGGCTCGCTGTCAGGCTGCTAAATCTCATCCCCAGCAGACATCAGGGGAAGCTGGAGCTCCCCTCGGCACCCAGCTGGCTCCGCATCGGGGCCGGATGCTCGCGGGGATGCTTTGTGGCCACGGCTGAATCCGAAGGCAGAAAATGGGTGAGAAACTCATTTTTACACCAACGCGTGATTAATGCGTGGAACTCATCGCCCTAAGATACGGCGAGGCAGAGAGTTTTGTAAGATTTTAAAGAAGATCCGACATTTATGTGGCTAATAAAAGTTTCTGCAGCTCCATGAGTCAAGGTAGATAAAAGGAAGATGCCTAGAGGGGAGATAAGGCCATGTGCTTCGGAGCATGAGCTAATGACTAATAGCAAAAGACAAAGAAGAAAGCACCCCTGGGAGGCTGGGTTTTTCCTGTGTACCAGGTGTTTGCTTGTACCTTCTCTGAAGGTCCTGGCACATGTTACTGCAAGATAGGATCCGTGATGAGCTGCATCCCATGCTCGCCTCAGGACAGCAACTCCCCTCCTCCTCAATTTCTACGTGTTGTTTTGGTTTTAAATTAGACCCAGATCTCTTCAAGCCCCAAGAAGCCTTTATCATTAATCCTCCTGACACACGGCCTGACCACATGCACTGGAAAGCATCGCTCGGGGCTGGCCGGGCTCCAAGAAGAGGGGACCCGGCGCTGACTCTCGGGGGCCCCCCCGGATGCTGACACTGCAGGTTATTACACACCCTCACAGTGCCCGCTCCGGCCACCCTCAGCCCAGCACCTCGTTGCATGGAAAACCTTTGTCTGAGCAAGAGCACGGGATTTCCCTCGCAGCCCTACGCCCCGCGCAGCACCGCTGCCGCACCAGGCACGCCGCTTCTCCCCCCTCCTCCTTTGAAGCCCCCTGCGTTTGCAGGCAGACGTGGAGCTGCTGTTGGCCGCCTGCCTGCGTGCGTTTCATGCCTCGCTCTCACATCCCGTACCTTTGCAGAGTTTACATGATCTCAGCCCAGTCCTCCCCCAGCTTGTCTGCGGGCTCTGTCCTGCCTCTCCGGTGCACACAGCTCCCTTTGTACATCCTCCAAGGTGCTCAGGTCAGGGCGAGACCTGCCCAGGACCTTTCCTTCCATCCAACCACCAGCTCTGGGGCTGCTTACACCCACCAGGAGCCTCACCTTGATGCTTGAGGACCCTCAGCTGTGAGGTGGACATCACTGCTGCTGATCGCTCCCCTTTGAGCTCACAAACACCCCTTTCAAGGCTGATTCCTCCCCAAAGACATCAAGCAACCGTTGTGTTTCCCCAGCTTGAGCTATGAGGAACCTGCAGGGCCTTTCCATTCCCACCCCAAAATCCTCACCCACCCCAGCTGGGGCACCCAGCTTGCACATCCCCATCCTCCAGGGATGCCCACCTCCTCGGGGCAGGAGGTGAGCGTGGCACGATGCAGCTCGCCCACCTGCAGCACCCTGACCCCACGCTCCCCACCACTCATCAGTGCCTCTCCTGGTGACATCCGTCATCTTCTGACAGAGCTTCAGCCTCCTTAATTTGAGGCCAAGAGATCTCTGGGGAAAAAACTGCTTGTTCTTGTAATTGCACATTTACACGGCAGCCCCAGCCAGGGCACACACACCCAGGAGTGGGGAGCCAAGTACCCAGCCTCAGAGGCCCCCAGCTCAAAATCTCCTCTCTGCAATCAACTGAGCAGCCACAGAGTAGCACTGACACTGCCTGGTTGAAGGACACAAGCACCAAAAAAAAGACAGAAACCCCCCAAAATAACGCCTTTACCTTATGCAGCTCACACCATCAGAAAAACCCAACCTGGTCGTGCCTGGTCCTTAAAAAGGCTCAGCTGGGGCTGGGAGGGGGGACACAGCTGGGGGCCGAGGGGCTGAGGAGTGCCAGGGTGGCTGGGTTGCCTGTAACCACAGGTGTTTGCAGTGAGCACAATGCTGATAGAGCAGAAAGATCCATGCGTATTAATTTGGGGTTTATTATAAAGCTCTTCTCCCCCTCCTGCTCTCTTAAAAAAAAAAAAAAATAAAAAAAATAAAAAAATAAACAAACACAAACACCATCAACAAAATAACCCAACATTTAGCTTCAAAGGCCACTCTGTGGGACCTCTGGGCACCCCACTCGTGGTCCCATGCGTGGCCGTGGCCTTGCTGCCCTCTTCAGGGCATCTCCACCCTGGGGCCGCGGCCCCTCGCGGGGCACGGGCTGGGGGAGGAAAGGCAGGAGCCGAGCTGGGGAGGACTTTCCACAGCACGATCCAGGAATTAAAAAAGCTGAACAGATTTTACGTATTAAGGCTACAACCCTTGAGTGAAACATTAATGACTATTTACTTGAGAGGCTGCGGGTGTTATGCTGGGAAGTTTTCCCCTCCGCAGATGCTTGGGGTAGCAGCAGCCGTGGGACCGTGGGGCTGTCCCCAGCGTGTCCCTGCCGTGGGGATGAATTACAGAGGGTGGTGAGGGCTGGGAGGAAACCTCCAGGTGTGTCTGTGGCTCTCCGTGCCATGGTCCCCATGACTTGCCACCAGCCAGCGTGGCACTGCCCAACCCATCCCTCCTCCCCATGGCATCCCTCCTGTGGGTGACCCTGGGGGAATTAGGCATTAATGGAGAAAAATACATCCCCTAATCAAAAAATTATATGATCAGGTTTGTGCCCTGTGAGCCCAGGAACCTGATGGGCTTTAAATCCTCACATTTAGCTCCTGACCATGGGGAGCAGCTCCCACTCTGCTGTTGGAGGGGAAAAGAGAGCTAGAGCCCTCTGCCAAATGGAGATAGCCCTGCTCCTCTGCTGGGGGGGATCTGCATGGCTTTTCCTGGGTGGGCGACAAACCCCAGGAACCCCAGGAACCCCAAGCCTCACATCTCTGCAGCATCCCCCCTCTGCCACCCCCGGACCCAGCCCCAACCTGGTTGGGGTACGGATGGAGGAAGTTGGACCCGGTTTGCAGGGGCCGTCCTGTGGTTTCCCCCATCCCAGGCAGCACTCCCGGATCTCCGACTCAGTGCATTGCTTGGGGGGAACTGGAAAACCCAGGCTCTGGGTCAGCAGATTTTTGCTGGGGGGAAAAAAAGAAAAGAAAAGGAGATGGTTTGGCTGGCTCTAGATGTGCTTCCTGCAGCGAGAAACTCCGAGAAATCCCAGGGGGGCTCAAGGAGCTATTCTGCACCAATTTTTGGATTGCTCTTCTCCATCCAGGGCTCTTCCCTTTCCACGCTGGTTCCCGTTGCCATCCATCCGTGTCGGTGGGCCGTGCCGGCCCCGCCACGCACCGTGGACCTGGTGACGTCTCCTGTGGTTTCCAAAGTTACGACCACCTGAAATTGTGTTTAGATGAGAATAGCAGCTTTCATTAACGTGTAACACGTCCCCTGTGTGCCCAGAAAGCTCGGAAAGCAGAAGAAAAATTAAAAGCCATAATGTATTTTTTATTCTTATTGATTTTTAAGCCTATCTCATTTTGGGGACCTGGCTCGTAATTTTTGAGCACTTGTGGGATAGCGTAAGTTCCCGTGGCCTCACGGTGGGATTGTACAAAGACTTTTCCCCGTGTTTTATTTTTCAGTAACCTTGATAGCTAAACCCAGTCTCGTGGAGAAACGATTTTAATATTCAGGCTGACAAAAATAATTACTTTTCAGCATCATGGGGCAAACCAACTGATGGGGCCGCAGAAAACTCCCTGTCACCGGAGCCAGCGCGGGCAGGCTGCTCGGGACAGCTCTCCACTGGTACCCGACCCCAAATCTCTCCTGTTTTTCCTTTTTGCCTACATTTATTGCACTGCCCTGTATTAAATGGGTGGGAAGGCTGGGGGCCCCAGGATTCAAGGACATCCCCTGCCGTGGTGTTGTGGCTCGGCCAGCTGTGCAGGTGAGGACGCAGGATCAGGGCACTCGCCATCAGCTCCACGTGCACAGCCCGGCTTGGGGAGCCGTGCTTTAATCAAGGCTTCGGGATCCTTCCTTCGGCTGCCCGGGGCGGGGGGGATTTTAACTCTAAACACATTAGCGTGCGAGATTGAAAGGTAAGGCGTCCTCCCGGGGCCGCCGAACAATGGAAAGGAGCCTGGCTTTCATTTGCACAAAGCACGCAGTGGGAATTTCCCTAATCAAATAAAAAGAAAATGAAAAACTCTCTCTCTCCAAAAGTTTAATTCTCTTAATTACATTAATTGGAGAAACGCAGGATCCTCCTTTGTGCGCGTTTCTGCTCTGCAGAGGAGGGGAGGCTGCAGGAAAGGGGCTGTTTGGGGGCCACCCCACACCCACCAGCAGCATCGAGTGGGGGCAGCGTGCGAAGGTCAGATGGGGACCGACACGGGGACGGAGAAGGCACAGCGGTGACGCCCTGTGCTTGTCCTCACCACAAAAAAAAAAAAGCACAGGGAAGTAATGCCTCCTCCACCTGGGGCTTGCCCCGCGCGACCCCTGCGCCGTCAGGCGACCCGCTCACGCCTGGAAAATGTAACGGGGAGTTTCTGCAGCCGCCGCCTGCTCCAGATTCCCGTCAGGTGTCGGAAGCGAGAAGCAAAGCAGAACCAAGCTGCAAAGCGATCCCCCCTCGCCCACCGCCTGCTCGGGGCATTGCGGTGGCTGGGGGCGGCACGTGGCGCCGGTGGGGCGGGCAGCGGGGCTGGGGTCCCCCAGCAGCCCCAGGTTACCCCCCCTGCCCCTCCAGGTGCTGCCCACCTGCGTGGCCCCAATTAGCACGTGGGCTCGTTTAACGCCTCTGCGGGGAGAGCGGGGAGGTGACATCATGGAGAGGGGTGGCGGGGACGGGGGGGCTGCTTCCATCCTGCTCCACACACCCGGATGGGACCCCCCTGGCCCCCCAGTTCAACCCCACTGGTTTAACCCCTTTGCTGCCAGGGAGAAGCTGCAGAACCATCCTCTGTGGGGTCGGAGATGGGCGCTGCCCAGCCCCACTGCGCCACAGTGAGCCAAGCAGGGATGCTCATGAGGTGCCTTCACCGGGGAGACCAGCTCTCTGCAGCAGGGAGAGGATGAGCAGCAGCAGCATAAAAACATCGACAAGCCCTGAAAATGCTGATTTTCCAACACTGTTTGGAAACCAGTGCCTTCAGACATCTGGAGGGCTTTGTACTTGCCCCTACACCAGGCTGAAGCTAAAAAGCAGCCAGCCCCCCACACCGCTGCTCCGATTCCACAAAGAATTAATTAATAAAGGAGAAGCACTCATGGCTCTGCAAGGTGCCTTCCTCAAAGGGTCGCAGCCTGGGTCCTGGGCAGTTTTTTTGGGCACCCAAAGGGCTCCACAGGGGGTCAGCGTTTGGGTGAGCTGGAGAAGCCGAGCTCGGTGTGGGTGCAGCATCCCCTGCCACTGCCAGCTCCGCGGCGGTCAGCCAGGGGCCCTCTCCTCGCTGACACCGCAGCAGGAAAGGTGACGCTCTCCCGTATTTAATGCATAATGGGAAAAATCTGTGCTCGCTGTATACTCACTGAAAAAAAAAAAAATGTATGCAGAAGAAAGAAAATGGACACGGCCAGAACATTTGGCTGGATGTTTTCATTTGGTTACAAAAAAAAATAAAGGGGGAGGGGGGGGAAAGGAAAGAGCCACCTTTTCAAGGGGCTCACGTCTGGAAAATTCTAGCCCAAATGACATAAGAGCAATTGAAAATGGGGATTAGAAGGGAACAGAGCATGAAACCTCAAGGATGAGCCTCAGCACCCTGCCACAGCCCCACGGTGCTGCCCAGACCCCAGGGGGAGGTCAGCAGCAGGAGGCTCCCTCACTGCAGGAGGGGTCTGGGGGGTCCTCCAGGGCATCCCCCCTGCCTTTGGGAGCAGCAAGGAGCTGCCGTAAGGAGGCATAGGTGGCACGCTGCACAACCCTTCACCCAAATCCTTCACCTCCTTTTCTCTTCGCCCGTCTCAGGGCAGGGCTGAAGGCACGGCTCACGTGGAGCCAAGCGCGTTGAACTCTTTTTGTTCCGCGCTGGTTTAGCTCAGCCGGGGCAGCTTGCTGCCAGAAGTCTCCTAAGTGAATTTACTCCTGGCTTGCAGCGGGCTGCTCCGTGCCAAGAAATGCACAGGTGCAAATTAAATCAATATACCTGGCTCTCGGTCGATGGGAGGGTCTCCGTGGAAGGGTTTGCGCGGCTCTCCCCAGATTGGGGCTTTAAAGCCAGCCGAAGCCGGAGCGCTGCGGCTTCCGCTGCAAGCACACCGTGCGGCCGCGGGGCTTTCCCAGGCCAGTGCAGCTGCAGCCTCCTCTTAATGAGGGCCAAGGACACGGCGTGCAGCAGGGGAGCACTTGGTGCCTGGCTCCCGGGGGACAGGGACACGTCCCGAGCACCGGCAGCTCGCAGGGTCCCCTGCCTCCCACCCCCAGCTCTGCGCACAAGCTCTCCATCTGGTCAGGGTCGCAGCACCTGGGATCCCACCCCAGTGCAAAGCTGACCCGGCAGCACCAGCAAGCAGGAAGGTGTTCCTGTATGTGGGCAGGATGAGGCCAATCTGCCCCAGCTCCAGGCTGCTCCAGGTGGCCAGCGTTAGGTGAGGCTTGGCTGGGAAGGTGTGGCCGGCCCCATGCCCCTGGTCCCTGATTTTTCCTTCTGCTGCCACCCATGTCCTTCACGTGCCAGTCCTAATCCTCGATGAGGCAGCTGCAGGGCAGTTTGGTGCTTCCACAGAGCAGTGCTGGGGTGCGCTGGCACAGCTTCATCCTGGGGTGCTCAGCTGAACAGGACCCCATGGAGGTCCTGGGCACGGAGCGGGGAGACGCCCTGCGTCGGGGGAGCGTGCAGAGACCTCCGCTGGGAAGCAGCTCTTGGGCCAGGAGTCAATGAACCCAGCCACGGCCTCTCCACTGTTCATTTTATTGTTATCTGTGTTATTTACAGCCGCCCAGGCGGCGCCGGGACGGGACATTGCACCACCCAGGCAGAGCTGCACATCCCAGCACCGTCCCTGGCTGGGCAGCGTCGGAGGCACCCACATCAGAAACCCCCTCACGAGCACGGGGAGAAGGGCAGGATCGGTGGTGTTATTTTACTTAATTTATAACTAAATGCCCCCAGAAGAGTTTAGCCCTTATTACCGAGATGTAATGGCCTATTAAGGGAGCAACATTCCCTGGAAAGCCGCCCGGTGTCAGTGACTCCTTGCGGAGATAAGGACTTAATAATCACACGTGGAGCTATTTGGGGTGAGGACGCACGGAAACACGCAGCCTGCCCACGGCTGCGGCCCCACAGGAAGCAGCAGCGGCGTTCCCGACAACGGGAAGCCGGGCTGGGGGCTCTGCCGATGGAGGGGGAACCCCCCCACCACTTGTAAATCCCTAATTCCTCGCTAAATGCTTCGTAACAACAACACATGGAAAGTGCTGTCAGAAACCCCTCATTTTCTTTTACAGTAAAGTCATGCCCCGGGGCCAAAGAAAGGAGTAACAACAACAACAACAAAATTGCTCAATCACGGCTCAAAGCACCAATCTTCAGCATCTTTGCAGGTTCTTCGACCTGTTTTCCCACAGTCCTTGGGGCAGGGCGGAGAGCTCCAGCCCCGAGTGTCTCCTACCATTGCAATCAATTAGCTTCAAATGGTGTTTTCAGAAAAAGAGGTCCCTCCTCCCGCCCCCATTCCTCAGTGCATCATTCCTAAGTGCGATGGGCTCCTTCGCTTCCGAGTTTGTTATTGAACAGGGAACATTTTCTCAGCTAAAAGTGCGGCTGAGCGATAAGGCCCATGCAGGAACTGATAGAGACTTTGCAGATCGAATATGATGTTGTTTATTTGACTATGATGTATATTTAAAGGTCTCAGTTACAATTGGCCCCAGGCAATCTCTAATGAGCTGCAGCTGCCTGGACTCTCATTAGCTTTAATGACATCTTCTCAGTACATTTTTCTTGGGGTAAGACCTTGTCCTTTCTATGGTTGCGCGCACACTAAAACCAAGAGACATCTCACCCTAAAAGGGCAGCCAACTCAAAACAGTGGAGCAATGATAAATGATGCAAGTGCCCAGAAGAGACAAACCTTTCCTGGAAGAGTCATTGTTTATTTAAGGCAAACTAAATGTAATTTACTTTGGCACGCCTTAGAATTAGTCTGGGAGGTATTTGCGTAGAGGCTCAAAAAAATAGGTAACAAAGTCGCCGTGTGTGTTAGGCAAAGATCAATTTGCAATTTCCCTGATTTTTTGCCATTCGTCTTACTCAATGGGCAATGATCCGCGCTGCCGAGACCCGCTGCCCTCCGTGCAGAGGGAGCAGAGCAGCAGGGAGATCGGCTGGAGCAGGGCTGGTGGCACAAGCCAGGAGCACCAGCGGCAGCACCGCCGGCACCGCCGCGCTCAGCACCCCGGCACGGGCTGCACGCCCTCGGGGCTGGTGCCTCTGGTCCCTGCCCCGCTGTGCCGAGCGCCCTCCTCATTTTTTTGCTCAGCGGATGTCTTCTGGGGCTCTGCCCCTGCCGGAGCAGAGGCCTTATCCTGCCTCCATCTCTTCTTCTGAGAATTGAGGGAGCGGTCATTAATCATCCGAGCCGTCCCCTCCGTGGGTGCACAATGGCCTTCTTTATCCCGCGCTTCGACAGCCCTGACATGTACAATAACAATCAGGCTGGACGCATCTGTATTGCACCAAAGAGACTGGCTCAAAAGGTTCCTCTGCAACATTTCGGGTCATAGTTAAAATATATTGGTTTATTGTGAGGCGAGCGGTGCAGATCGTGTGGGAGATGCGTGCTGGTTTCTAGGTAGCGCTGCGGCATCTCGAAGCATCCTTCCCGCTGCGCTGCCACCCTGGCTCCTCCAGGCACGGAGCCTGCTGGGTGGGAAGGTGACGTGTGATTTTCCAGGGTGAGTTTCCATCGTGACCATTTTCTCAGGGACTGTTTCCAGTGGGGAACTTTGTCTCTTTCTCACTGAGCCACGCAGAGCTTAGGGACACCCCGTCCCAAAACGAGTGCTGCTGACAGCACGCGATGGGCAGCAAGGCACCACCCCTCCTACGCCAAAGCACCCGGCAGAGATCAGAGCGAGTTTGTATCTCCAGACTGATACCTCAAACCAGTCCTGCAGCCACAGCCAGACAGCCAGGGATTTCGCCCTCTTCGGTGAAGCAGGATGGAAATTTGCCCACGTGCTCCCAGCTGCGGACTTCTCGGGTGTGAGGACGGTTTGCAGGAGAGCAGCCCGACCTCGCGGCCGCAGATGTGCACCAAATGTCTGCGCTGCCCATGTGGAGGGGTGGGAGAGGAAAAGCCCAGGGCAGCAACCCCTGGGGAGCGGAGGGGAAGGGGGACTCCGAGGAGAGCAGGAACACAGGCTGGAAAGGCGGGGAGCCGCTTCACCCGTCCTTAGCAAGTTTAAAGCTGGGTTAGGAATTTCTAGGCCCTCCTTAAATTCCTGGGCTCCAAAACGCCTCTGAACTAGCAGAGGTATTTCTGGACAAGTTGCAGGAGCTACCAAATAACCAGGGAGCACTAAAAAAATAAAGAGAGGAGGGGGATGGGGGAAATAAAAACAGGAAGCAGGTGGGGTTTGCTTTTCCCTTTTTCTCCCCTCATTGTTTCCCTGCTTCTTGCAGGGGAAAGCTGTGTCTCCAAAGCTCAGCTTGAAAAGTTCTCCATGAAATAAAAAAACAACCGAGTTCACAAGCCCTGGGGGTCGGGGAGGGGCGCAGAGGAGCAGCGGGTCATTGCCCAGCTGCTTGGGGCTGGAACCCAAATGGGCTGCGTCCTACCCCAGCTCTGCCCTAAAAACAGTGCCCAAACCCCCAACCCTGTCCCCAGCTGCAGAGGAGCGATGGAGCTTCTCCAGCTCTTCTCCCACTGTCCAGCTCTGTGAAGCTGTCCCACAGCTGGACACAACATCCCCAGCACCAAGCAGACTGCGCCGAGGCCGGCGTGCACGCCTTGCCCTTTTGCTCTGCTCCAGGATCCTGTCCAGGATCCCGTGTTTCTGAAACACATCCTTGCTGCTGGCTGTCTGCCCTGGATTTTAGACATATATATTCATATATATTCTTTCTTTTTAATTTTCTGACGTTTCTAAGAAGCAATGCAGGAAAAAAAAAGAGAAGATTTTTTTTTTCTCCCTGATCACAGCACACAAAGAACTGGCGAGCACGCAGGCCCCGGCCCCAGCAGCTCGCCCTGGAAGCCGCGCCGTGCCGCGCCGATGGCAGCTGTTCAGGAGGGCTGCCTGGTGTTGTGAGACGTGTGCTGGGTGGTATCAACCCCTTGGCAGCTCCAGCAGGAAAAGCAGCTTTTCCCTCTGACATAAAGCGTGATCAAATCCAAACCTTTGTTATCTTCCCCCCCGGCCTCCCCTCCGCAGAGGAGCCAGGGGATGCGGGTGGTTTCGGGGGGCGCAGGCGATGCCGCCGGCTGCGGGCTGAGCTCCGACACATGCTTTCCATTTGGCCAGTTTTTGGTGCGGCGGTTTGATGTGCAATTAGGACGGGGTGAATTATTAGTTATAAATTTAGCCCCTTCTTCCTCCCCCACGTGTGAATTAGCTCTGATTTCCTTGCCGCGTTTCCATCGCTGGCAAATGTTGGCGGGGGTGAGCGGGTTTCGGGCTGCTCCCCCCGGCCACGTGGCATCGCCTCGCCGTGCCAAGCAGGGATGGCATCTTAAACACGGGGACAGCTTTTTAAACACGGGACAGCACACAACAAGGAGTGGGCAGAGGGGAGGAGGGTGGCTGAGGCAGAGCCACGCCAGCACCAGTTTGGGGGCTGTGAGCTCCTTCCCCCCAGTGCTAGCTGCGATATTTCAGCTGGTGGGGACTCACGCCTGCACGAGCCCATTCCTCCAGGTTGTCTTCCCCAGTCCTTCCCCAAACACAGCTCACGCTGCTGCAGAACTGGGCTCCGGCCCCAGGCCTTTCATTGTTTCCAAGGTCATTCGCTCTGCAGCGGGGCTGAAAAGCAGAATTGCCTTTCTTTCACTGTTTATGTCTACCAGATACATGCTGCTCGCTTTTTTTTTTTTTCATTTGGATCCGTTTTCTGTGCTGTCCTGAGAGAAAGGAGCGAAGCAATTTTCTATTTACTGCAAAATTCCAAATGAGCAATTTTGAGGATCTGGAGATTGTCAGGGAGAGGTTACTGGACTGTGTACACGGAGGAGGAGGAGAGCAGAAGTGATAGGAGAAGCGCACGGAGCAGGAGCAGCGATGGCTAAAGCTTTTGCAGCCCCATTGCTGTCTCAAGAAACCTTTGCCTTAAACACCCAAGACTGGTAACTATTACGGGATGTGTGAGTAATTCCTAGATAATTTTTTAAGTATTTGGAAAAAAACAATGCATAATGAAAACATTACGCTATTGTCGTGATGCTGACACTCTTGGCCAGATCCTCAGCTGCTGTGAATCACGGCCTCTCCTTTGACTCGAGCAGAATTACGCCTTATTTGTCCCAGCTGAGGATGAAATGCGGCGGCCAGCCCGTGCACCGCCTTTGCCTGGCGGCTCGGAGCGTTGCTCTGCCGGGAGGGCTGGGTGGTTTGGCCGTGCTCTGCCCGTGGCCGTGCTCTGTAAGGTGAACAGAGCCGGGAGGGGAGCCCCGATCCTGGCTGCCCCAGGTCCGAGCCCATCGTGCCGGGCTTGGCGCAGCTCCCCCGGGGCAGCCGCGGTGCCAGCCCCCGGGCCGGCGCGTGGTGCTGAGCGGGGAAGCAGCCGGCTGGTGGGAGGGAGGTAAACAATAACTGGTTAGCAGTTTGCGCACATAGATTAATTTCTATATGTTTTTTTAGAACTGAGAATAATTTATTGTAATTACTGTTGGCTGAGTTTTGTTTGAAGAAGGCAGTGCCGTTTAAAAGGATTTTTGAAAGGCATTGAATTGGGAGGCAATTATTTAAAAAAAAAAAATGTTTAAGGATTATAAAAGTAATTACTGCCCTCAAGCCAGGATGTCTAATTATGTTAAACTGTGGCTTAAGACAGCACAACTTTCAGTCTCTTCCTTGGGTGGCTGGCGCTGCAGCAGCGCGCACGTGGCAGGGCTGGGGCTGGGCTGGGCGGCCACGGCAGGAGCAGGGACGTCCCCGCGTCCCCTCGGCAGCCACTCGTCCTTCAGAGAGATGCAGGGGATGAGCATAGGGCCACGAGGAAGCAGGAGAAACAGGGGGAAAGGGGAAAATCAGGAGGGCAATGGAACCAAGGGACCGGGGGGTAGTCGCTTGCACCCCCATCACCGCAGCCTTGGGCACGATCTGGCCTGCCGCCTGCGGGGAGGAGCTGGCTCCTGCTTTGGGGAAAGGGCACGACGACCCCTCCAGGGCCTCTTCCTGCCCTGGTTTTCTCTGTTTTCCTATGGGAGCCCTTCACAAGCAGCAAGAGAGAAGTATGCGTTTATTTTTCGAGCTTGCCTTTTGACTCCAGCTCCCCTCTGTTCTTCTGCCAACGTGTGAGAAACAAGTTCAGGTTTAAAAGGCAACCTGAAATGTGCGTGCAGGCACAAAGCTGTTTTATTTTTATAACGCTGTGATTTATGGGCCAGCTTGGGGCAGGGGCGGGGAAGAGGGGGGGGGGATTTCCCTCGTGATTTGGGATCGTTTGAAGGCTGCCCATCGCGAGACAAGCAGCCAGCATCCTCCGTGCCAGGGCAGGGGCAGGAGGGTGGCACAGCAGCGGGCACAAGCGGCAGAGCGCAAGGTCTCCGGTGGGCTGAGGTGGCCAGAGGCTGGTCAGGCATGCAGAAATCCCTTACAGAAATCCCCCCCCCTTCTCAGAGCCGCCCCTTCCAGCACCCAGCCCGCAGAGCACGGAGGAAGCGGTGCAGACGTCGCCGTGGCATCACACGGCTGATCACACATTGCAATTCTGAGTGCGTGTCACGGGGCTGATCCCGCTCACCCCACGCTCCCCTTCCCCGCCAGGCAGGCAGGGGCTGGGGGCGCTCCTCCAACAGCACATCTCAAACCAAATTCACCCCACTTAACCCAAACTGCCAGGCGCAATGACCCAGCAAAGGCTGTTCTGGAGGCAAGGCTGTGTCCCTGTGTCCCGCACAGCTCCGGCGGGCAGGATGCGTGCTCAGCCTGCGCTAATCGGGAGGGCTCAGGTGCCAGCAGCGGCTGCAGGCTCGGGAACTTTACCAAGCTGCAGGCTTAGCAAGGACCGGGGAGCGTGAAGAGGCACGGAGACACCGCAAGGATGAGGAATGCAGCGAGAGCCAGCAGAAAATGTCTGCTTTCTGGGAAGCAAGTGCACGGCTCGGGCAAGAGAGCAAACGAGGAGCAGCAGGGCAGTGCCCGGCATCCCGCAGGGCTGCCAGTGTCAGCGCTGCCTTTATCCTTTATCTCTGCTCCGCCACGCTACAGAGGGCAAGAGCAAGCTCAGTCCCGGCGTGGGATTGTCTTCAAGCACACAAAATTGTTTATCGTTATTATTATTATTACTAGCACTATTACTATCATTTTTCAGTCCCGCTGCCCGGTGTCTTTGGGTGATTTTCACCTTGCAGCCTGTCAGAAGGACTGGAGTGTTTTGTTTCTTTTTTTTTTTTTTTTTTTTCCTCCAAGGCACACATGGAAGCTGTTCTTGGTGGTTTGGGTCTTTTGTATTCTGCGGATTATAAAAGGTCTCTCCTGTAAGGAGTCTGGAAAAGGAAGAGCACTAATTATTATTAACTCTGCCAAAGCCAATAATATCCTTGGGTAATTATCGGTTTACCCAATTTTCCTGCGAGCCTACTGTGTAAATACTTCATTGTGAAGAGGCTATTATTTCCTCCCCGCTCCACCTAGCCGTGGCACTGATGATGGGTTCAGGCTGCTCCCTGCCATCGGGGCGGTGAATTTTGGCAGGCGCTCGCTGCCAATCGCCCATCCCAGCCATAAACCAGGACAGAGCCGATCGCCCCCTGTCCCCCCAGCCCAGCCCCGAGCTGGGGACCCAGAGCCACCTCCCGCCTGGTGGCACACACATTTTGGGGGCTGTGCGAGTGATGGGGCCGGCAGCTCTGGTGTCCCCGTGGCCGAGGTTGATCCGAGTGCTGCTCCCCTGCTGCCAGCAGGTGCGGTGGCGAGGCCGCGTGCGGTGCCGCCGGGCAGCCCGGCCGCCCTGCCTTTCATCGCCCCGCGTTTGTTTGGATTAGAGGCAGCTCTCTCGTGAATCCTTTGTTCGCTGTTTGTTATTCCACATGCACCGAGCGCTGCGCGTTCATCTTTATTAGCTCTAATTGCTTCCCCGATCTAATGGGATCTCGCTACTCGCATACAATTGAAAGGAAATGTATTCATTAAAACAATTCTCCTCCTAACTGTTGTGCAGCGCCGGTGCTGTCGGCGTGGCTCACGATGAACCTGGCCCTGCCCACCGTCGGCTGGGGCTCTGCCTGGACAGACCAGAACACAGGCAAGGCTTCGTTAAGGATTTTGGGTCAATGTGAGAGCCAGGCTGTGGGCCCAGGTGGCTCTGGGCGATGGTTGTGCTGTGGGGAGGGTCACCAAGCAGCTCAGCCGCTCACGGGCACATCCACACTCAGGCAACCAAGTGCCTGCCAGGGCTTGGCAGCCCCACGTGCGTGCGGGAGCTCCCCAGCCTCTTCCTGCTAGGGGAGGAATTCGATGAGAAAGTGGCAGAGAGAGGATGAAAGCGGGGATGCTGGAGAGAAACTGCGCAAGGAGAACGTCTCCGGTTGAAGCTGGCAATAAGGGACAGCTTCCAGCAGAAAATCAGCCGTCTTCCTAACAGCTTTGCTTCCTCCCTGGCACTCGGACCAACTTTTCCTCCTTATTTGTTTCCTCCCACTGCCGCTAGTTAGGCATCTTTAGGGAACTCTTTAATGACCCTCCTTCCTCCCGGCTGTTTACGCTCGCTCGCCCTGCCTGGCTGCAGTAGCCAAGCAACCTCCTGCCAGCGTGCTGCGAGCTCTGACCACGGCATCCCCTCACCACTCACACAATTAGCCCTTTGGTTTTCATCCGCCGTGTCCCACTCCCCTCCCGACCCCTCCAAAGGGCTGGTTCCTGCAGCACCGTCCCCTGAAATGAATCCCTTTCTACTAAAGACCCCTTCTCTGCGAGCTCTGCTCGGCCACACTCCCGGTTCCCTGTGAAAGCCACCTTCCTCCTCCTGGCATATTTATGTCATACTTTGTTAAGACCATCACGGAGGCCAGCGATGGAAAACTGGCAGTTTTAGGGCTTGCAGAGCTGTTTTACCAGAGATGGGCTGTACAGGAGCATATTGTCCTCGTGAGGGATGCCAACGTGCAGAAATTGTCCCCGTATCCAGGGCCAGGGCCGTGTCGCTGCGTGGCACGTTGCTGTCACCTCTGCGGGGTGGCTCTGTGGTCGATGAGCACACAGGATGCCCGTTTTGGCTCAGGGCAGCCCCAGATCCCCCCAGCGCAGGGACGGCCTCGCACACTTGCCGGAGCTGATCCCGGGCTGGGAGCTTCGTTTAAAATGCAAATGCCTCGGTGCTGCCTAGCAGCGCCGGCAGTAACGGGATGCGAGTTTGTGCCCACTAATAGCATCCTGCAGTACTTCTGAAGAAAGTGTCTGCTTTGTCTCCGCATTTGTCTGTCACGGAAGAACATTACCCAGGCCCAGGCTCCCATTCTATTAATACATTTGCTTAATTACGCTGTACAGAGAGAGTGCCAGGCTGGCAGACAGACTGCAGAAGCTCCGCTATCGCTGGAAGTGCTCTGCTGAAGAAGTGACATCACGGCCGGATGACATCGGCCCCGTGACACGCTCCTGCTCTCCCCCGGCTCACGAAACCCTTCTGCAGCCCCCTCTGGCCCCATCTGAGCAGTGCCCATAGCACAGACGGGGGCTGCTGTGCTGCCCCCCACCAAAAAGCCCTCACTGCACTCCCTGCTTGCCATCGGATCTGCCTGCGGGTTCTTATGGCGCTGCCCTGCCATCCAGCTCCCTCCCGTCCCCAGCAAGGGCTCTCCGTCTATCTGTGCTTCAGAAGTGCCTATCAAACCCCAAAGACAGCGCGTGAGCGAGACAGTAACCATCTGCCTCCAGGTCAAGTGGCCGTGACAGGCATCCGCTGGCCGCTGAGACGGTTCTGAGACTGCCTTCGCCGAGACTCCGGCTGACTGCAGATAGCGCTACCTGCTCCGTCGCTTTTGATTCCTCCTTGGGATGTACTTGCGAGCTGTCAGCTCCCTGAGTCACAGGGAAGGCGAGCATTCGGCTGAAATCTGTGCTCAGGCAGCACGAGAGCGATGGATGCTGTCAGTGGCGGAGGGGAGCTGTGAGCACAGTGCCAGGCTGGGGCACATTTCTCCCCGGCACGGGCAGCTTGCTCGCGCACACAGGGAAGGGGAGTCCCAGGAGGGCTCAGGCAGCACAGGGACGTGATTCAGCTGCTGGCTCCTGAAGACAGTGTGAGACCCCATCAGTAAATGCCCCATGAGATGCCTGAGAGGGATGGTGATGCCCCAAACTGTGGCCAGCGAGGGCAGCACTCCGTGCCCTGGCTCTGCCTGCCCGGTTTTTGAAGCATCACCATTTCCTTGGCCAAGCACCGGGGCAGCCTATGCCCAGCCCAGCAGCTTTCACCCCTACAAACCCCATGGCTGGGGCCATTGTTCCAGGTCCTGAGGGACACCGGAGGAGCTGCCAGGCTTGTAGGGGACGGCCGCAGGCTCTGGAAATGCCGGGCGGTGGCAGGACACCTTGTCCCCTGTTCCCAGACACGGAGGGTGGAGGGCAGGCACGCCAGAGCGAGGACAGCTCTTGCTCCGAAGAGAGAAAAATTAGATGATTATTTTTTGCCTCATTCTGCACGTAAAACTAACACTTCCTTTGAGGCAGTCCTCAAGGACTTCTCAGACCCTGACTTCATCAAAAAGGAGAAAATTTAAAAACCTAAGCCGTTCCAGCAGAGTTGGTCTCCTGAAGCTTATAAACACGAGCGAGGTTGGAGAAGGGCAGGAGAGATGGGGAATGGGGCCTGATCCTGCCAGGGGCAAGACAGGAGAAACCAGGGGGAGCAGGAAGAAGGCAAATATTAGCCAGGCAGGGGAGGAAAGGGGCATCGGGGGGAAAGGGGAGTCTGAGCCCTGTGGGGAGGGCTGCAAGCAACCGGCGGGCACACGGATCACAAGGCAACGTGGGATCAGAGGGGTGGGGACAGGCAGTGAGGTGAAGTGGGGGGACGGGGGTGGCACCCACGTTCTCAAGGCGGGCACCAGGCACCCCACAAACCCCTCCCTGCTCCCGCTGCTGTTGAAGCATCTCCCCCTCTCCCAGCAATGCGCAGACGTAGCAGTGGCTGATCCTCCTTCCTGCAGCATCTGTCGGAAACGTCTGCTGCGTCAAAGTCTTGGTGGTTTCTTTTTTTATATTTATATATATATATATTTTATTTTGGCTGCTAATGCATCTACTTTCTAAGCTTCGCTCCTTCTACAAACCTGCGTAGGATTTCGTTTGTGTTGCTTTACTATGTTTCACTGCATGCCTGTTCTTCCTACCCCTTGTCTGACACGCTCGCCCCCCACCTGCCCCCGGCAGCACGCGGCAATGCCTTGGCTGATGAACGCCGGCACTGGCGCTCGCAGATGCCTTGGGCTGGCCCCACTGCTCCTCTGCATCTCTCAGCATCCCCCAGATGAAATAATCCCCCCAAAGCTCGACAGGTTTCTGTGCCAGCAGCCCCGCTGCAGCTTAATTAACGCCCAGCTCCTGCTTGCTGCAGAGGCTTTCGCTTACCGACGGATTTCCCTAAGGCCAAATCAGCTGGAATGCTTCTTCACGCCCGCGCCTCCTCTGCCTTCCTGCTGGGAGCGGGTGCGTTTGGGGAAAACCTGGATTTAAGGCTCCTGCTGGGTACCAAGCAGGATGCCCCCACACCAGGGAGCAGCGAGGGATGGGAAACAGCGCTCCCGGCCCAGACCCTGGCTTTGCCCTCGGCTCAGTGCATCAGAAATGAGCTCTGGTACCTGCAGTGGGGGCTGCAAACGGCTGCGTGGCTGCTGCGTGGCTGGAGGTTGTACTTGTTCTCCAAAAAGATGTACAGCGAGGAATGGCTCTGAGGCTGGAGCAGGAGCAGGGAGAGCTTCCAGCAGCCAGGCTACCCAATTACCGTTTTTTTTTCTCTCCATCGAGCTTGACAATAACATTTGTGAGAAATTAAGAGAGGGCAAAGCTCTTCCCTGCTTACAGGAGGAATGAAAACCTCTCTGCCATAGGTTTCCAGATGTCATTTTATATTTTCTATAAAAGTTTATAGGGAACCCAGCTGGCCCCAGAGACGCTATCTGAGGAGCGAGCAGCAAATTGCCACTTGCAATCGCAGTCGCTCGAGCCCACGGTGCAGCTGGATGTCCCCATCCCTGTGCTGGCACGGAGTGCAGCCAGCACCATGCCGGCACCGCGCAGAGCCTGCACCGTGCGCCGGGCACCAGGCAGGAGGGGAACAGGGAGCAGGACCGGCGCCTTCTCACACTTTGTTTTGCATTTTCAGGAACACAAGTTGCCATAGGAACCAAAGCCCGGGCTCCTCATTAGCAGCCCTTGGTCTCGATGTCAGATTGAAGAAGTTGTTCCTTTGTGGTGCTGCGGGCTGCTGACACTGCTCCCGTCCCACTGCCTCCTGCCCGGCCAGGGGAGGGAGAGCCGTGCCTGGGGTGGCGGGACAGTGACATCCCCTGGTACCACGGCAGTGCCTTGCACCCCTCTCCGAACTCAAGAAGGCATCGGCCTTAATTTTCCCTCCAGCAGCACCACTGGAAGCACAAAGTGCTTCTGCTGTTGGCATCACCGTGCAGCACTACCACCGTGGCCAGCGTGCCCTTTTCACCCTCTCTCCAAAGAGGAACTACTTAAAGCATGGCATTGAACCATTTTCATCCATCCATCGAGGAGCTCCAAGCACTTCTCGTGCCTCCCAGGGCTCGCAGCAAGGAGGAGAGGAGGGGCTGTGGGCAGCCTGTGCTCCTTGCCTGGGCAGCAAGCCTGGAAACGTGCCGTGGGGTGCTCAGCGAGGGGGAGGCTCACGCCAGGAGGGCCGGACCCGACCAAACGTCTGGAATTACATCAGCACGTGCATCGTTACCCTAGCGATGTAATGTCATCAGCTAATCCCCAAAGTGGAGTAATCTTCTGTCACTGGGACAACACCGAAGGAAAGCAAACCTGGACCACTACCTCCTTGTTTGCCCAGAACTACCTAATCCCAGAGAAGCAAGTTAATAACGCACAGCAGCTCGGTATCAGCTCGCTTTTATTAAACTCCTTGCATAACTCCTAGATTATTTTCATCCCTGCCAACTCAAGCTGCCCCGCTCAGAGCCAGCGAGAAAGGACACATCTGCAGGCGACGTTTTGTGAACAAACCTCAGGCTAAAACTCATTGCCCTCGCTCTCTGATGAATTGTTTCAAATAATGACAACATTGGTATAAAAACGAAAGGAAAACCTGGGCCAGACGCAAGCAACGTTTGCGCAGGCCAGGCTGGGGAGGACTGACCGGGAAGGGGAGCAAACATCCCTCGCAGGGTGCACCTCGGTCAGTGGATACCTGCTGCCATCCTGGCCAGCTCGCAAAGGAAATCGTCAGAGCAGAGCTGGGGATCCACAAACACAGGAGCACAGCCCCCCACAGACCGTAAATAAACACCTACAAGCGCGTGCACTCTTATTTTGCATGCCTGAAAGCTAGAAGTAACGTCTGATGCTCAGAAGAAAGGAAATATTTAGTTAAGAGAAAGAGAGAGCTGTAAGAAGGCAAGGCAAACACGGTATATTTATTTTTTATGGCGTAAATGGAAAGCCCAAGCTTTCAGCTTCGCTGAATTATTTTACAGCGTATCTCTGGCAGAAATCGAAAAATCTGTTTGCATCCAGCCCCTCAATTATTGCACCTCGCTCTCCGCCGTGCCAAAATGACATCTTAAGAACTGGCAGAAAGCTTCGCCTCTGCTTCTCCCGTGCACACAGGAAGGCTGCTCCTCCCCGCTCAAAGGTGTTGGGAGATTTTGCAGCTTGGGTCAAAGCATGTTAATAAAGCAGTTGAGTCTCCATATGGTATTTTGGCACTAAAATGTCAGCTGCTTTTCAGACACTGTACTTTAATCATTTCAGACAGGCCCCTTTTAAATGGTTTGTTTAGTTTGCTTAGAGAATAATATTTGTTATTTGGTTTTTGGAATGACTAATAAATGAACTGTCTTTGCTCAGGGAGAATAATGCCACTTAAGCAAAACCTAGTACTGCAGTTCAGAGCTATTTAATAAGAAATACCTGTCAGTGTCAGAATATATTTACTCTACATTAGCTTTGAAGAATTGCAGAATTAGTTTTCCCCTTGCTAAGTTTACTTTATGTAAAATGTAACACATGAACTGTGAATATGTGGACAGCAAACAGACTGTATCAATGAATTCATCCTCCCCCGGAAAATGCTGACAGTGGCAAGAGAAACACCTCCGAACAGACAGAACTGACACCATCAAAAGCGAAACGTGACAGCTGCCAAGGATCCTTAGCCTCCTGCCTCCCCTCGCCTGCTTAAGAATCGGAATCGAATCCAAGGAAACACGCTGTAGTCTATTTATCCTCTTGTTTAATCCAAGGGGGGAAAGCATCAGCATAATTAAACGCTTTTAACCTCTCGGTTTTGATAACTCGCGATCGGGAGGCAGCGGAGGAGCTCCGCGGGGAGCCGAGCCTCCCCGACCTGCCGCGGCTCGCTCAGCCTCGCCCCAACGCCGCCGCCTCGCCCGGCCTCGCGCCCGGCCTCCCTCCGAGGGACCCACGGATGGCCCCCAGGACAATTCCAGGTCCCGGCGGCATCTGCTGCTCACCCTGAGGCAGGAGAGGCGAGGCAGAGGTCTCGTCCCACCGCGCCGTGCCACCCCGCTCCTGGTACCGACGCGGCGACGCGCTCGCTTTCACCGCCCAGGCACCGTCGCCGGCTCTCCAGCCATCTGGGGCAGCAAGCGGCGAGGCTGATGGTCGGCTGCGTGGAGAAGCGAGTTATTTGCTTAGAAACTGTCTCTGTGGCATCTTGACCATCTGGAAAGAATATGGAAATGAGACTTGTAGCGAGATGGAGCTCCTCGGTTGATAAATTAACCAGGCATCTCCAGAAGTAGGCGCAGCCGATAGAAGGCTGCATTTCCAAGCACGTACCAGCTTGCACACACGTATGTAGGTGTGAGCGTATGCAATTTCCCATCTCGCCCACACGTCTGGGTACCTAAGTCACACTCCCGCAAAGCTGCCCAGGTTTCTAAGCAAATAAAGCAAAACTTTCAGCCGTAAAATTCATGTGCGCTGGAACGAGGGCCAGACGGGGCTGGGCTGTAAAGGACCGGCTGCGGGTCCAGCGCTGCACAGAGAGCAGGGCTGCGAGCACCCCGCTGTCCTGCGGGGGCTGAGCATCACAAGTGGGGTGTGAGTGTGCCCCCCAGCACCCTAAAGTCCCCCCAAGGCTATGGCAGCAAGCGAGAGCCCTGGTACAGAGGGGAAACAAAGCATGCAGCCTGGCACAGACGCAGGAACCTCTCAGCTCTCGTGCCAGCCCCTTACTAACCAAAATATCATGCTAGGCTGAAGTGGAGCTGGCTTCCTCGAGCGTGACTCATAGCGTTTGCTGACTGCCAGGAGAGTTCCCAGGAACTGGGGGCAGCGGGACAGAAATTACAGTCGGCCTCCTGAGCACGGTAATTTGTGCCAGAGTTCAGTGGCTCCCCAGATCACCCCAAGAGAGGACAATTAGGGCTGGCTTCAAGCCAGACGCAGGTCGCTGGGAGCAGAGCACGGAGCCCCCAAGTTAAGCACTGAGAGGAGGCAGCCAGCAGACTTGAGAGAAGGAGGTTGTGAAATAAGCAAGGTCCCTGAAACAGGCATCCTGCCTTTCAAATGCAAATGCCATCCCAAGGAAGGTGTTTTGCTCTGCCAGCCTCTGAGTGCTGACTTTTGATCATCTGAGTGGAGAAAACGCACCCAGGAGTGCTGGCACAGAGAAAGGCCTCTGAGGGCTGGGCTCGGAGCAGAGCGATGGCACGGGGAGATGTGCTCCCAGCGGCACACATTGGGCAAAACGCTGCTTTGTGCGTGCCAAGGGACCACGTGCATCCGCATGCCTCTGCCATGCTGAAATGCACGTGGCAAAAGGCTACCTCCTGCTAAGGAAGTGCCAAATTTCCCCATGTAGGTGGTGCACCTGGTACCTGCTTCTCCCCTCAATGCCACATACAACCAGCGATGTACAACAGGGGTCAGCTGCTCCATCGCCACCTTCCTGGTGTCCCAACAAGACATTTTGCCTGATGCAAAGGTGGACTGGACATCTGGCTGTCCAGCTCTAACCTGAACTTCTCATACCATGAAACACCAACGTGGGATCTAGACAAAGCAACAGCCTACCTTGCCAGCCCTGTGACAACCCCTCCGGGGGCATGGCTGCTGCTGAATTCCCAAATCATTTCTGAGCTCCACGCAGTCTCGCTCCATCTGATGGGTTCAGCACCTTCCCCCCAGCCCAGCACCTTTTTCCCATCACCTGTGGTCTTTTAACTGGGAATTATGGGCACCGTGGAGTTGGAGGTTGTCTCTGGTTGAGCCTACCAGCACAGGGCAGGGACTCCTGGTGAGGGGTTGCTGTGCCCAAGCTGTGCCAGTGGCCAGCAGACGAGTGGCTCCTTCCTTGAAGGCTCAGCCGAGTCTGACAGTCTCCTTCATGCTGGCGTTAGTGATTTCTGTGTGCTGAGGGACAGCAGAAGAGCAGCAGCCAAACATCTGTCTCCTGAGCCCATGGTGCAGACTGTTGAAGTTTTTAATGCTTTTATTGTTTTGGCCTCTACACATAGGAATTGCCTCAAGCTCAGGTGTGCCCAGATGCCTCAGAGAAACGCATGGGACCTCAGAGTGAGATTTACTGGCCACAATATTATGTAAACATTTACATACCTTAAAGTCTGTGATTGTTTTTTCTTAATTGACTGAAAAAAGGCAATGCATTAAAGCAAAACCAAAAGCTGGGAAACCGTCAGACGATTTCAGGTACTTGCGGTGCCAGCAGCGCTCAATGCCAGAGCTGGCAGGGACTCAGCCCTCTGACAGCCGAGCTGAAGCTCTTTTCCTGTGCTCGTGAGTACACCCATAGCTCGTTGCAGAAACCAAGAAATACAGGGAGACAAAACCCCTTTTACCGCGCATTCTGCTCTCCAGCAGGAAACGTCTCCACCGGCTCCATCCCATGTCCTGTGCTGTGCCCGTGTCCGAGCACCGACTCGGAGCAGAGCGAGGTGCTTTGCCATCACCACTGGTGTTTTCCCCGGCGAGGCAGTGTGGGTGGTGAGGCTTCCTGGGGCCAGCAGAGGAATCTCCCCGGCTGGTTCAGGTCCTTGGGCCCTCGACCACAGAAGGGCTCAGGCTCCCTTTCTGCCTTCCAGCGCCCTGAATGTTTTCAGGCATAGGCAAGGTCTGAGATGAGACCGTCTCCGCTTTCATCCCAGGATCACAGGCAGCAGTGCTCACTTGCGGAGGAACAAGGCCCTCTTTTTAGTTTTAACTCCCAAAGCATTTGGAGACTCTGTAAAGGCAGGAATTAACCTGTGTTTCTAGAAAGAGAGCAGAACATCTGATGCTTTTAAGCGGCGTTTTAGAGGCAGAGATGATCTTCAAAATGTTTTGACTTTCAGTTTTAAGAGAAACATTTTTCCTTTGAAATTAGCTTAATTAAAGGATCACAAAATTAATTAAAACTCAAAATGAAATGCAACGCTTTGCATCAGGTCGAATGAAATGTTTTAGCACGCTTTAAAAGGAAATCAGAGATGGTTTTCATTTCGATTAAAGAAACCCCCCTCTCCTCTCCTTCCCCAGGCTCTGGAAAGCATTTGGATCACACAGATCTGGAAAAAAAAAATACACAACAAAAAACAAATGAAAAATCCCTGACATCCAAACCCCCCTATTCCACTTCTGCTCATTGCAGCTTGCAGAGGTGAGTGGGTCTCCCTGCCCCGAAATGTTGGGGACCTGAGATTTGGATCCACTCATGCCTAGGCCCTGGCTGGGCTCGAGCCTGGGCTGTCACCAAGGGCTCTCCGTCCAGATGATGGCTTGAAGAGCTCCTCTAAAACAAGCAGCTTGTGTAAAATTAGCAGCAGAGGCGGAGGGGAGCCCTTACCAGGGGGCAGAATTACCACCGCTGGCCCCAGGCGCTGCTGGTGCTGGCAGCCCCCTGCCACCCTCGATGACTGTCACCACCAGGCGCGGGGCCGCATCCTGCTGACCCACCCGTCTGTGCAAAGGCAGCCGGTCCCACGCCAGGAGCTGTCACACAAACGTCCCCCGCTTCCTCGCGCCAGGCCGTGGGCTGACACCTCTAACTTGCCGCTGTCACATAGGAGCTTTAAGTGCCTCCGATGCAGCCTTATCCTGCTGCCTGCCAGAGCTGCTGACTGAGCCGCACGTAGCTCTTGGCACCGGAAAATACGCTTTGCTCAGAGACCAAAAATTTCAGCTCGCTGTAAACATCAAGAGAGCGGCTTGCGATTAAGCCGTTGGGGTTTTACGGCATCCTGAGGATGTATAGCGCTATATAAGCGGTAACTATTTTTACTGTTGTTATTTATTACGTGGGGCTGGCTGGTGCCGGGGTCCGGGCCCCTTTGCACAGCAGGTGTTCCCATCACGAAACGCCGGTGTAATGCCGGCGAGCTTCGCACGAGCGGCATGAAAGCAGGTGGCTGCCGTGCTCCTGCTCCTTCCACAGGCTCCCGAAGGCAAGAGAAAAGAGGGGGGACACGTTTCATCCCTGGGGAGGGAGGTTAAGGCCAGACCCATAGAAGCATTCAGGTTGCCAAACACATTGGGGATAAGAGGTCTTTTGGGGTCATGCACCCTCCTCCCAAGACTGGATGTGCAGCAAAGACCAGCGGGAGAGCCAAGGCCAAACAGAGCTGGCAGCTTTGAGGGAAGAAGGGGCACAGTCCCAGCCTGGCAGCGGGTGCTCGGAGAGGCCTCCTGCCCGAAGAAACCCCGCACCGCTGCGTGCTGTCACCGCTCGGGGGGGAAGGCGGGACGAGGCTCCCCGCTCACATTTAAGCATACAAAAACAAATAATAGAAAAAAAAAAAGAAGAAGAAAAAAAAAAGTTAAAGCCGTCTGAAAACGCCTCCCTCTTTCCCAGAAGAGTGATAAAGGCTTTTTGGCAGAGCGAGGTGGTGTTTATTTTGGTTTTGTGTTGTGTTGCTGCTCTGACCCCCTCAGCTGTTGGAGCTGTTAGACGGCGAACCTGACAGCGTGATTGTTTTTACTGGACTGCGGCGCAGTTTTTAGCTTTGCAGGAGTGGTCTGGGAGCAGTTTGTGCTGATTGCTTCAGAGGGCTGCGACCGGGGCCCACGGCCCCGTCCTGCTCCGCACCCCGCGTCTCGGCCAGGCAGGGCCCGGCCCGCAGCTGGTTTGAATCATCGCGCTCTTCCCATTTCCCTGCGCAGGGCAGCGCTTGAAGATTTTCCTTTCTCTTCTGCTGAAATGTGACTCTAATTAGATGATAACAAGGCTCTGACATTTTCTAATTGTAATCCTATCCGTGCAAGGGGACGTTATTAAAACGATTAAAATTATTGATAAAGGGGAGGAAGGACACTCGGTCGGAGAACTCGATACTTGGCCTGCAGCACCAGGGGGGAGGACAGGCCTGGCTCCATCTCCGGGACAGGAGCACCCTGCACCCCAAGGGATCACCCGACTGGGCAGGGATGGGTGTGGGGAGCCCCTGGTGACATTTCCCTGCTGGTTGGGACCGCTTCAAAAAGGGGGACGAGGTCAGCTGAACCAGCCTGCTGGGAATTCGCCCCATTTTGCCTGCACTGAGTAGCCACCCCACAGAGGGTGTAGGCCACAGGCAGGCCAGCTCACGGGACACAACACCATCCCCACAGGCTGAGCTCTTGTCACCACACCGACCCTCAGAAAAGGTGGTCTGGGGACAAAACGTGGTCCTAGCCTGCGGGGAGAACAAATGAGGAGCAGCTTCCTCAGGCCTGAAGCTGCTAAGGAGATAGCTGGGCCCTGCTCCCTCCACGCCTGTACACACTAACGTATGAGTCCCAGTGCAAACATTTCCACTTCGCATTATGTGGCTTTTAGACACTCTTTCTGGAAGGTTTTAGCTGCATGAAAGACAGGAATTGGCATCTGGGGAGAAGCAATTGGGCTCTCATCTGCTCAGGTGAAATTAAAGGGAACCGTGCCCCTGTTCACAAGATGAGCTGGTTTATTTTTTTTCACTTTTTAAAGCCAGGCCTCTCTCTGCAGGCACAAGTAAGAAACAGATGGGAAAAAGTCCTGCAGGCCTCAAGTTTCTACCAGGTAATGGTGAAGAGGGCAAGGTTTTAGCTTTACTGCCTTCAAAACCCTGCGAGGCAATGCAGCAGTTACATCTCCTGAGGCAGGAGGCAGGCACACACACCCTACACCCTTTCCCCAAACCCGCCATCAGGCCCCACACCCAGCAACGTGCCACAAGGCATCAGTGAGAAGTGAGGGACATCCCAGCAAGGACCTACCTGGCAGTCCCCAAGCACCAGGGATGGACCCCTTGCTGTTCCCGATGGCATTGCTCCTGCAGGATCCCGTGGTTTTGTCCGGGGGATGCCTCAAGCCAGGCAGGGCTGATGTGGAACCAGGCAGGGAGCCGCGTGGTGTGGCAGGAGGCAGATCCGAGCCAGTTTTCTTCTCCGGAAACCTCGGGGATCTCCCTTGGTGTTTCCCAGAATAACCCCACGGCTCCTCTAATTTCCTACAGCTGCTGCACACCAGCGCAGCAGCAGCCGGCGGCAGCACCCGCAGCGTCCCCAGCCCAGCCCTCAGAGGCAGCAGGGATGTCCCTGGTACATCCCCAGTGCCACAGCCCTGGGGGGTGGGGAAACCCTTACATCTGCAGGGAAAAGGCTCATTTTGTGATGCCAGAAGATAGCAATAACAATGTAAAGGGGATACAGAAACCCAGGCGTTGAATCCCATTAGCCCAGCCAGCCTGCAGGCTCTGACAGCAGCCGTCCCTGCTCCCTGAGGGCAGGGAAGATGCACAGCACTGCCATTCCCAACTCACACCTATCCCTGTGCTTCAGGATAAAACAGAGCAGGAATTTTCTGAGCAGCCAGTGACCACCAGACTGCCTGCCTGCAGCATCCACAGCCCTGCTCAGCGCGGCCTCCTCCACCTGAGAGGTGCAGAGACACTGCTGGGGGGCCAGCAGTCAGCACATGCCAGAGTACGAGGCATCTGAGACTTCTCTCCCCAGTATCTGTTCACACACAGGGTCTAACCACCAGTACACCGAGGACTGAAGACACCAGCGAGCTGCAGCACTTCTCAGAAAGTCCTTCAGTGCTTGCAAACCATTTGCAGACAACAATTTATTCATCCAATTTACACCTTATTTCTGTTCACAAGCAGATCATAGTCTCCATGAAATTGCTCATTGCTAGAAATTATGCAGCAAATATTTCAGTATACATATCTCCAGCAAATTGCCTGCAGCCAGTGCTATTTCCCTATTCACAGCCAGAAATCTGAGCTGTTTTGCTAGGACATACAGCTCCCATAGCATGGCTCGTTCCCTGTCACAGAGGTACGATGCTCTCCGATCCTGGCACCGACAGGCAGCACTCCTTAGCTTATAAATAAAAGCTCACAACAGAATCAACCTTACAGTGCAAATATTCATGATTATGAATTCGAAAATCACTTCCTATGAATAAGCCTGCACAGTTTGCATTAAAACATGCTGCTTCAGCATCATTCCTGCCAGTGTACATGTTTGCTAGAACAGCCACAGAGAGCAAACCCAAAAAGGTCACGAAGGGAAAGCGAACAAATTTATTGAGAAATTCAAACATATGTTTGGTGCTGGTTAAAAAAAAAAAAGCTGCAAAACCACAGATAGTGTCT